GTGAAATGTGAAAAGGAAGGAAGTGTAGGAAATTGCCTATTTGCAATTGTAATTTATTCATTTTGCTTAATATGCCGTGAAGCGCAAGGCTTTCAGTGGTCGCCTCCCTTTTGGCCCAAACAAAACAATAATTTTCTCATATTTTTTGTGTGTGTTTGTGTTTGTGTGTCGCCCATTTTTGGGGGTCACTTGCTTTTGGCTTGTTTGCCGATTGCAATGGTTTGACTAATGACTCGATGCCAAGGTCATGGCCTGCCTTGCCTTCCTGCCTTCCTCCCCATTGTTGTCGATTTCAATTAGAAGCTGCGCTTAATTTGCATAATTATCATAAAGTTTGACGAGGGATAACGAGCCAGTCGAGTGGTAAATTGTCCAACTAGGATTTTATCTGATGGATGGATGTTGTACTTCTCGGAATGCAAATTAGCTCTTGACTCCTGTCAAATGAGTTCTTTATGGTTAGCTGGATATCATGCACTGACCAAATATGGCAAAAGATGTTTTAAATATATTTTCTACATTAAGAAATAACAAATAAGTAGAAGCTAATATTTGTTAGTCTGTCTATATAATTCTTTTATAGAAAAGGATATATAATACACATTAACCTTCGCTTTATTCCTATTGTTAAGCCCTCATGCCTTATATCCAACCTGAACAAGGACTTTATCGTTGCTTTGCCAGCTCTGTTAACCTTAATCCTTAAGCTGTTAGTCAAAATTTGCAAAAGATCTTTGATTATTGAGGAGGTACTAGCTAGAAGGAGATGGGGATGTTAGGGTATTATGCCACACCCTGAGGGTCCTTTCAGCAGGATGCTTGGGTAAATGGACTGCAGAATCGGCTTGTTGCTGGTCGATGGAGCTATTTAGACCGAGTTTCCCGGCCTTCCGCTCACCTTGGGGCCACCTAAGAAATGGGCCATAGATTGCAGTTTTATGTCACAACATTCAAACAAATCGCCGGCCATTTAAAACGGTTTAAAAGCCATTGCTGCAGCCCGTAACAGCCACACGGTGTCCTGGCGACAGTCACGACAGACAACAACTGGGCTGAATGAGTTTCCCTTTGCCCTGATTTCATCCTCTTTTAAGCCCCCGTCCCGTCCCAGAGCAGTTTCCCTTTCCCGGAGCCTTTTCCTTTCCGGGGATGACAATAAATGAGCGCCCATTTGCGTACGAGCGAGAGAGGCTGTGCCTGGGAAAAGTCTGGGAAATTGTTTTGGCTGTCGAATTACGTAAACATTGTCATAAATGAAAAATTTAGCAGTCGTAGCCAGAGTCAAGCATTTCATTTGCTCGGGCAAATTTGTCAATCTTGTTGCAGAGTTTTTTCGCCGTCTCGAATTCCATTTTGGCTTAGACGCCGCAGGACTCACATGAGATGGCTTTGTTTTGTTTACATCCAAGTGGGGGGTCAGTGATGTTAATTTGACGGAAATGGAGATAGATTTGACCATAAATATTCGGTTGTTTTAGGCTTAATTTATACTTTTATTTTGAAATAAAATAAGCTACATTTTAACGCAGGTTTCAAATGAGTTTTTCTGCATTATCATTATTTAATATGGTATTTCTTTAAATTTAATTCGATTGATTTATTTATAATTTACTATACAAATTTCTATATTTATTCCATTTAGTTTCCCAAAAACCTTTTAAATTTTCTTACAATGTTTCTGGCAGCACTGCCTGTAGAGCCTAAAAAAGGCATTTCTTTTCTCGTGATGGAAGACTTTCTCTGTCTGGTTTCTGCGGCAGGCGCGACATATTAATTATTCATTTCGATTTTGGTTTTGGTTTTGGTTTATGTTTGCTAGCAGCGGGATACCCCAAAACTGGGGAAAAGCGAAGAAAAAATAGAAAATAACGAGGATGACGGCCTGGCTCTTGGGCTGCTCGTGATTTATAAACACGCGCGTCGCTTTGGGTGATTTACTGCAAATTGCTTTATAATGTTATATACGTTTTGTTGCCGATTTTGTTGTATTTCGGCGGTTTGCCTGCTCGGTAGTAATTATAAGCAAAACGGAAAGAAAAATGAGCAACGATTTGGGCGGGATTTGTAATCCAAACGATTAAGTATACGAGCCGTGGGCTTAGGCTTAAGGTTGTTAACAATTCAAAGATCAAAAGGATTTTGGCTATAAGGCATACAAATGTTGAATTTATTATGTTTTAAGGGCTAAGGAAATTATGTCAAACTAGGCGATACAACATTAGAATGCAGATTTTCCAAAAGTGATTAATATTTATGTTCTTGCTACTCTAATTAATCAACATAAATTTAAATCGAACTTTCTGTTGGTTGTGCATAGACATTTGTCAATGTAAAAGGGTAATTACTCAGGACAAGAGTGTGCATTTACCTAATTGATGTGACCCAGGGCGTTGACAACACATTTTACGACTTGAATCTTGATATTTACTAGCATCCTTACATGCTTGATATATATATTAGAGCGTACTACTGATGGCTCTTGTCTTTAAGAGCCTTCAACTTATCTGGTTAAATTATTCAACAGCCATTACTTTTCATTTGCATTAGTAATTTTTAAAGCACATTTCCTGGGCGACCTCGAAGCATTTTTAATGATTATGCCAGTGGCAGGAAGGCAAAAATATACTTTTCAGGGAGCAGCAGACGTGTAAAAGTAACAGCGAATCTTTGTACGATACATTTACATAGCGCATCTGTGAATGTAGACAACATTTTTTGTATTTCAATGAAATATATATAAATATATATATGTATATATAGTATGTGTGTGTGCTTGTATTTATGTAAATTTTGGCATCTCGCTGCTTTTCTTTTTCGCTGCGTTCCGGCAATGTTTGGCCAGCGCCTTTTTATTGTATAAATTTCTCGTAGCTGAAAATTAGAAATGTTCCACTGCGTTCAACTTCACTGACAGTGCGTGGCAAATTGCTTTCCAAAGTCTGAAGTCTGGCATGTCTACAGAACACAGAGAACACACACGTTGCTGCAGAGAGAGAAATTCTGAATTCTTGTGTTAAATATTGCATTAACTTTAAATGGATGAAATATTAAAAGAAACTCAGGTTTTGTATTGAATTTTTAGAGGTCTTTGTTTCTACAGTACTATGATTTATAATTTATTATATATTAAGTTTGTTAAATATTTAATCCGAACACTATTCTCAGTATCAGGTTTCACAAATCCCCCAAATATCGTTTTGTAAAACACACTTTTCTTTCCTCTGTACAAACCAATATCTAACAATAATAGCTAAAAATGGTCTTTTTTACTTTTCTCCCTGCTTTCCGTTTCCTAACAATAAGTGAGGGGAAAAAGGAAAAGTTGGAAAAGTAGGCGGGATGATATAGCGACCATATATGGCTGATGTTCGCTGTTGCGGCAATTTGCATGTGCAGACTATGGCACATAATATCCATGCATTAGAATTATGAATCCCCCGCCTCGTTTCGAATAATGGCAGTGAGTGCCGGAAAAATTATGCTGTACTACGAGTAGATAAATATGCGCAAAAATCGAAATATTACGGCGTGTGCACACGGCGTATGCGTAATAAATGCGCCTGCTGCCATTATTATGACATTAATGTCTATAAATCGATCATCCGTTCCCCCCCAAGGCCAGCAGTAAATCTGATTGAAATAATTATAGTGCGTCGGAAAAGTACACTGACGCCAGTCTCTCGAATAGCGAATAACGAAAAAAAATCCCATCCGAAGGAATCTAAGCAGAAAAGGACACAACTAAGCCGGCTGCCAGACGGGAAATTAACTTAATTACTGTTTAAACTTTCCAGTCTCGGCCAGACGTCGCTCTGTGAAAAAAGTCGGTGCAAAAAATGAGATATATATTATATATATTTAGCAAATTAAATTCCAGAGTTAGAGAGAGATTGAGCACGTGGCCAAGCTGAAATTCTAAGTAGCCGAAAATTGAAAATACCAAACGTAAGGGGAATTACAAATGAACGGTGGAGGAAATTGTTAATATAATGGAAATATATTGTACTGAATTAATGATAAGTTTGGTTTTAGTTTAAAAATAAATCAAGTAATGCTTTAGCATGGTTTTATGTGTGACGATATTATTATTAAGGGATAAGCTCATAATGATACGAATTGTGTTGGTTCTTTCAACATATTTGCTTGACTGACATAATTAAGCAGCATTTAATGTCCTACAGAATCTATTTATAACATTTATTGGCTCGCTTTATTTCTCTTCAATCAATAAATAAATGAATTCTTAAGCTTATGTTTAATTTCCATGAGTTTTATCCCTATAATTCTTCCATAAATCCCACTGTACTCCCACTGCACTCCCATCATTATGCAGGCGGCATGTCCCATTATCATTTTGCTCATTTCCGTTGTCGTTTTTTGATTTTATTGCCATTGCAGTGGCAGTGGCAGTTGGAAAAGTGAAAGAAGCCGCTCCAGTATCTGCCAATGAGTGCTTTCGGGGGTGCACGGCAGGAAAGGGGTATCTTGTGGCATAAACTCGACTCGACTCCCGATTCCTGGCCAGCATTTAGCCCGGCTTTGTCAGTTGCAATAACTTTCGCGTCAGTCCAGCCAACAGATCGTAATGCTCTCCTTCGCTCTTTTCAGGCAACACTTTGGTGCGGAGAAGCCAAAAGCAGCCTTTGTCTGTGCCTGGCAATTGGCCAAGTTAATAGAGAGCCGGGAGGCCCGATAATGACGTTGCTGCTGCTGCGGCAGATGCTGATGATGAGGCTGCTAACTTGGTTATTGCTGCCGGCCTAGAAAGGACCACACAGGACTACGACCAGACCGGGAACCCCGTCCCAGACAGACAACAAAAACAAGGGGCTAGAAGGCACAAGCCGGCGCTGCAACGCCCTCGTCCTGGGCAGGCTTACTGCATTTCCGCCTCTGGTTCCTGCTCCCTGCTCCTGTCATCGTTACAGCCATTTGCAGTCCGCTTCAGCCATGCCCCATTGCCATCCACTGACGTCCTGCGTGGCCCGGCTGCTGCTCCTCGTCGTGATTGTGATGAGCGGTAAGTACCCAACCTTCTGCTATCTTAAAAGTATCCCCAAACTGACCCGAAACCGCCCCAGAAGACCACCCAACAAGTCGCCTGGGGCTACCACTTTATATTGTTGCCACAGTTAATTGTTGGCATTTGTTTGCCGGCCATTCCCTTCCCTCTCTTTGCCGGCCCTAATTGTCTGCCCTGGCTCTGAATTTTTGTTTCAATTAACAATTAGCTTGCAGACAGAGCATTGCATTAAATATAACAATATTGTGTGTACACTGAGGTAGTTGGCACACAGGCCTTAACTTGGGAGGGAAAATGAAATGAAATTAATTTCGAAACATTACTTTCTGTGTAGAGCGCAGACTGGGCCCCTGGGCCAAAACTCAAAATGCATTTCCAGTAAATAAATAAACAAAAACTAAATCCACTTTGTGTGTGTGTCTGTGTGTGTGCATCAAGTGGAATTGCAAAAGTACAAAAATTCAATAAACTGCAGCCAGTTGAAGAAACTTAAATCGGCTTTTAGTTTGAGTTAGCAAGTTTCCGAAAAGAAACAGTTTAAGCCTTTTCCTGGCAGAAACCATTCAAAACCTAATGCTCTTAACCCTCGGGAAATACCCAGCAAGTTGTCTTGTCAGCAATTATTTCACTTGAAGCCCTAAAACCATTTCCAAAAGTGCAAAACTTGATTCAACAATGTGATTTTCTGCCTGCTCTCATAAAATTGGTGTTGGCCAAATAAAAACAAACGGGCAGTAGGAATAATTTGGCCCGAAGCATCGACTTTAAATTCGGGCAATAACCACAAATATTATGCGAAAATATACAATAAATAATTTTGCAAAATGTTTTTGAGAAACAATGGATCGTCTAGTGGTCATATCACCGCACCGCATCCATTAAATGGGTAAATCGAACAAATTAAGTATACGGCACGTGCCACCAGCCACCAGCCACTGCCACCATATTTGGCCAATAGTTTTCAGCACGAGATTAACGCAATTTAAACGTGAATGGAGCCATTTCAATTGGCCAACACTCAAAACTGATTTAATTAACAATTGTCAAAGTAAAAGGGGAGAAACGAAGCCCTTAATGCGTTTGATTTATATTTAAAGCGTCCAGAATTTATTACGGCAATGGCAACAAATAACTCCCGAGAAGAGAGAAGGGTCATTGGAACAATTCAAAAAGTGCTCGAATTAATTGCATTTTTCGGGCGGCAACTGAAACGGGAAAACGGGAAAACAGGAAAACAGAAAGCAGCTGAAATGGCAGGAAACAGAAAAAGCACAAAAGTCGCGGGTGAAAAAAAGAAAAATAAGCAACGGGCGTGGACATATTTCAAAATTCAATTAAAATAAAACAAAAAGGCGGCGGCAGCTACAGCGACATCGATAGCGACACTATGCAATTTCCGTTTAGGGCGTGGCACAGCCAGGTGGGCGTAAAAATAATTAAAGCCCGACCAAATAAACATTGACGGCATCGTCGAATGTCCCAGATCCTGCTCCTGCTCCTGCTCCTCCTCCCTTTTGGCCAATTCCCGACACACACAAGCACAAATGCAAACAAACATGGCCAAATGGCGACCATTTTTTAGCGATTTTGCGCTTGACATTTGCCGCTGACTTCTGCATCCGACATGCACAACATTTTCAATTGAATTACGCCAATATGTCGAAAGAATTAAAATAAAGCAAGGCTAAATTTGTGGGCTGCCCCTTTTTTTTAGCTAAGCCACGAAAACAAGATGAATGGGCATTGCTTTCACTTGGAGCCTCGCTAATCCCAATCAGTCCGTCCGTCCATCAATCAATCAATCAATCGCTCTCCACCAACAGCAATTCTTCTAAGTGCATTTTCGTGTTCGCAGGCGATCGAATTAAGCGCGAAATAGAGCAAAATGCCACCTGCTAGTTCTTCCCATTGTCCCGTGTTTTCACACTTTTCCAGTTATGCTTGTCACTGGGGAAAATCCTTAATATTAGGTTTGTATTAACAATGGAAACGAAAATGAATACAATTTTTAGGAATATGCACCATTTTTAAGAGCTTAGCTTAAAGGCAAAGAATATATTTGAATTCAATTAAAATTTTCATTTATTTAGCAAGTGAATGTTACATTTTAGAAATGCTATTATGGTAGTTTTATTTCTTACAAAATTAAAAATAAAATATGTTATTTATGAGTGTTTTAAACTATTATTTGTCGATAATTTGCATTCAAAAATATCGATATTTTTTAATTTAATGAATTCGAATATAAAAAGCTTAGTTATTATCGATTTCCGATACGATCCTATAATTTAATTGCAAACTTCTAGGGTATATAAACTTCGCTTTCCCGTAGTTAGTTGCCTTTCTTGTTGTAAATACTTTTTACTAAATTAATTTTAATTTAATCATGACTTTATTTGATTTAAAATAAAAATGCTTACATATTAATTTTGACAAAAATAGATATATAAAGCATAGTTTGGAAATATTTAAAAACACATAGCCACCACAAATAATTTCTAACTAAAATACATATATTTTAAGTCCTTTATTCCCAGTGCTTGTTCTCCCAAATTATTCCCTGTCGGCTTGGTGCTTTTTCTAAAAATGTAATACTCCCATTTCACCAATTTCACCAATTTAAATATTGATTATGATTGATTTAGCGGCAAAGGCTGCAACTAAATATTGTTTGTTTGCCTTTGACCATGCCCCATTGGGCCGCACTTGAATTCGGGTTTGCCGGCCATTCGAATTCCGATTGCAATTCCGGTTTCAATTCTGCGAATGCTGTAAATTACACAAAGTAGAATTTACGAGTTGCTGCACTTCATAAAAGTAATTGCCTCGCATGTTTTAATATGAATATTTTTAAGTCGGCCAAAACACACACACAACCCTCTCTGGCATAGAAATTGCATATTTGAGGAGAACTTTTGGCCAGCAGTGTTTGCCTAACGCAAAATGAAATCAAATAAATAATTGCAGGGGCCAGGAGATGGGTTTGGCTTTGGGTTGGGGTCTCTCCTCCTGGCCACTGGTCAAATATTTGCAACAAACTTTCCGCCACTGCCGGCCAAGTCATTGAACGTTGTTGGGCAGGCCAGAAACTCAAACACACACACACAGAGACCAGAAGTGGGAAAAGCTGAAAAAAGTTGCCAAAAAAGAGGATGAGGATCTGCAAAAAAGTGAGCCAAGTGTAGCGGAGCTTTGCCAACTCTGTCTCTCTCTCTCCAGAAACTTGGCCACGTGCACCTGAGAGTCCTGCAGGATAAAGAGTACCCAGGAGCCCACGTAGGTAATTGAGTATGAATGGGGAATGTGTCGAAAGCGTTTTGTGATGTTTGCCAAACAAAACGCAGAGACTGGCAAGCAAAGTATCTGGAAAATGAATTCGATACATTATCAGGACGTCAAGTCGTGCGTGGTGGCGACTGGCGAAAAGTATAAATTACATCTACCGCCGGCAGCCCATTTCTTATGTGAAACACCTGCAGCACCAGGGCAGGTTCGAGTTCGAGTTCTACGACCCTCAACCACCCACCAAGCCCCCCAAACGAAACCAAACCAAACTCCTGGCATCCTGCCCGTCTGAAAGGGGGCGGGACCTGGCCAAATGTGCGCATAAATGAATTACCAATGAACCGCACGGTTCACGTTTTCAATTTGAAAGGCTGGGCGCTAATTTTCGGGGAGGAGGGAGTCGCCTTCAAGGAGCGGCCAGGACCAGGCTAGAACAAAGACCGGAATAACCATTTGACAGATGTGCTACTGAAGCCTTGGGCCAAAGGATATAGTACAGTGGTTAGCCAGTGCAAGGGAAAATTTAAAAAATTACAAACAGACATTTATATTATTTTAACGGACCTAAGTTGGAATATATATTAATCAAAAATAGTTGTTTGTGACATTTCTTTGGCTTATTAATTTATTTGCAATTTTTATTTGCCTTTTTATCTTTCACAAAACATAAAAATATGTAAAATTATTTGCAGCTTGGCATGTTATTGGAATTTTTTATATTTTATCATTAATTTCCTTTAAGATTAAATTAAAACGCCTATTTATTATTGTGACAGAATTATCCAAAGCCAGATTCATTTCATTTGAGAAACTATAAACCAATTATAAAAGTGTCAGCAGCTTTAATAAATCTCAAAGGAATAAGCCACTAATAGGTTTATTTATATAAATCGTTTTAATTTTGAAATATTTTCTTTTGCCTCAATAATTCATGCACTCTTATAAGTAATTGTACATCACCGAATATATCCTTTCGTCATTACAACTTTGTAAGAGGTTATTACCCTACTTTCTGCTAAGGTTAGTCCTCTTCCTGTTTACTAAATTCATTCGTAATAAAATTAGGCCATCAGCCGATTAAATTAAAGCCCACCCAGGGGTCGCGTAAGTGGAAGCTCTTCTAGGTGCCAATAAACAAGGAGTTGCTTAAAAAGGCTTCACTGTACAGTGGGGAAATGAGATGGAGCAGGAGCAGGACGAGAACAAGGACGAGTGTGTGAGAGAACAAATCGACAGCCTACATAAAAGCGCAATTTGCGCAATTCCAACGTCAAGTTCCATTTGATTACAACACGTTGACGAGGACATACGCACTTCTCGAGGAGTCCTTTGTGGGTGTTTTGGGTGCCAGAGCCTTCCTGTGTGTGTATGCCTAGTGTGTATGTGTGTGTGTGAGTCTGCAGCGAGTAAAAGCAATTTCACCAAATCTGCAATTGTTATGTCGCCTGCTAAACAACTCACTTGCCTCACTTGCCTCACTTGCCTCCCTGGCAGCCAGTTGCCTTCCCCATTTCCACATCTCGAAGGCAGGCGTTCTCGCACGTCAAATATTTATATTGCATTGCTATTCCAGGACCTATTCCCCATCTGTATTAGAGATGCCAGAACAGGCCATTTGAGAAGCAGATCGGCTGGAAATGAATTGGAAATGGGTCTAGAGAGGAGCTAGCTTTATTCTGGAATTTATTTGTAGGTCTTTGAATTACTCAAGG